TTATTATTATTATTATTATTATTATTATTATTATTATTATTATTATTATTATTATTATATTATATTATTATTATTATATAATTTAATTATAAAGAAAATATATCCTTGGGTAGGAAATACCAATGATAAAATAATTACACTCTAAAATAGTGGTAGATAGTCACCAGGGCAAAAATACTCAGCCTGTTTCTTGTTGAGGAGAAGGGGTTGGCAAGTCAATGATTGAAACAGTTAACTTAAAACTTGTGAAAACTTAAACAATTCATTCTGAAAAAAAACCCTTCCCCCCAAATTGCCCATTGATTCTGGTGACACAATTTTGGGTAGGGGGAAAAAAAGGTTACAGTACAAGACAGCTGTCTCTCCCTTGTTGACTACCCCTGCTTTAAAAGAGTTCCACATGGAAAGCTGCCAACTGAGAGATGAATACACAGAGGAGTAATATCTACTGATAGGAGCGCCTGGAGGCCACCTCTAACTTAGTAACGAGACAGATGTTGTTTCCTTCTAAAATATGGCTCCGTGTTTCCCTTTACAGCTTTCCAACATAGCGAAGTGCTGATTAACTTCTGGAATGGCCGGACCAAGACAATATCAGCAGATGTTGCTGTGAGGATCTCTCTTCCGTTATATGAGCGCATTGTTCTTGAGCTTCAGATGCCATTGAGAGCCAGGCAGATGTTGGTGGAGCAGAATCCAGATTATCCTTCTGTTGTGCCACCTGGATACCGGGCTTCTGGAGCTTGCAGGCATAAGCATTTAACTTGGATGCCTTGGCCTCAGACTCAAAAAACCCATTGTAATGGAGTCTGCGGGAGCAATACCCATTTCCTTCCTTGGTCTTTCTGCTGCCCACTACAGAATCATAGTACATCTTCAACAAGTTCAACATGGGCAGATGATACTTGGATAGCAAAAGTCAGCTCATCAAAAGAGGAGCTGAGCAAGAAGTTAGAAGACCAACTTTCAATAGGCAGACCTCCCACTTTGGAAAGTGATAAGGATGCAAAAAGAGATTGCAGCAAACTAAAGAAGGAAACAAATTTAGCAGATGCCAAATCTTGGGAAGAGAATGAAACCAAAGTTGCAGAACCCAGTGAGGTACAAGATTATGTTGATTAGCTTATAGCTCGCTTCTCCGGCAAGAAGTCTCCCCACTTCCCCATTCCCCAAAGCAATTATAAGCTATTGCCAGATATTGTTAAAAAAAATTCCTAAGCTGAACATCTTAGGATAGTTAAGTATTTCCATCCTTATCAACTTTGCTATATTCAATGGGACTTTTTAATTTTTGATAGGATCAGAAAGTGATGGATTCAGAAGATACAACAAACAATACTGGAACCATGGTTGATATAACGACCAATGCAGGCAAATGGATGACTCAACAAAACCAGAAATGTGTGCAACTATATTGAAAAAGATGTGGGGAGTTTTGGTGACTTATTGATAGATATTGAAACTAACGTATCAGCATATTTTACTCTAATCTTTTGGACTCGTTCAGCTTTTTTCTGCCAATAATAAAGAGAAGGTCAGGAGATCTGTTGATGTCACTAATTATCAGAAGGGCTTCTATTGCCCTCTCTCAGGGGAACAATATTTCTGTGTATCTAGTATCGAGGCTCCAGGGATGCTAGCCTGAGCATCCCTTTGTCTTTGGATTTGTACACTTATAATGTTGCCATGGCTACATCACATATTGATGCAGATGTTTAGTTTAGTTTAGTTTCATTGCACCTCGTACAACGAAATCAAGCACCATCTTCAGTGCACATCATGACCATGAAAATAAACACAAATACACATCCTTCATACTGCACACATTGAATTGAAAACCCCCGACACCGCACCAACACTGCACTATACAGTAGAATTCAACAGAGCTACTGCCCTGAGATAGAAGCTGTTTTGCAGCCTACTTGTCATTGTTTTTATTATTCTGTACCGTCTGCCAGATGGTAATAGTTCAAAAAAAAGGGGTTCCCAGGATGAGATGGATCTTTGAGAATGTTTTGAACTTTCTTAAGGCAGTGGGAGCTATAAAGCTCTTCCAAAGAGGGGAGAGGGCAACCAATGATCTTCTGGGCAATGACGTTAACCCTCTGGAGTGCTGTCCTATGTGATACTTTTTGTACTCATTTTCTTTTCTGATGAATTATAAGATATGATTATCCCTGAGAAAAAGGTTATTGTTGAATCAGTGCTTAACCTCAATGTTTTTTAAGACACACCAAGGGAAGGATGTTTCATTAAAAACACAACACATTCAAGAATAACCAATACTGTAGAAGCACTCTCATTTTTTTAAAAAAAAGGGGAAACTACACTAAAGGGATTACTATAAGCAAGAGTGGGAGACACACAACCTTCAATTATCAACTAAATCCTGAGACAGCAAAACCAAAGGGGAGGAATACTGGTGGTTGTTACGAGAGTAATATCTGAGGAGTTTTTTCATCTCTTCAGAGACATCAATCGCATAAAAGGAGCGTACCTTAGACCAAGTAGACATCTATAGCTCCATGATGTTTCCCCTTTTCAGATCAATGTCTTCATATTATCTACACCATTATTGTTATTTACCTGTGCAATGAATATAATTATTTTCTATGTCAGTTTTTTTACAACCCAACTTGAGTGGATCTTCAACCCAGCTTTCCCAAAGAAATGCTTCTCAGAAAACTTACTTGGCCAACAATTCCAAACTCCAAGCAAAGCTTGACTGGGTGGACAAGTCACTGAAGAAAGATCGTGTAGCTATTGAATCTGTTTTGCACATGAGAAGGAGCTACAGTGCACCACCATCTGGACAGGTGAGAACACTCTTCCTTTCATCTATATATTGCAGGGAAGGGCAACTTTTGAAGACCACAATTGTGTAGAGTTCATTTATGAAATACTAGGCCTAAACTGTCTGAGGGACACCTCAGCTTTGCTTTGAGATGAAGACTAAGACTTGGAAAAACTTACCCTGCTATAAAAGGGTCTTTTTTTTTCAGAAATTACTGGAGAAGGAAGCCCCTTGGGATAGTCCCAGAGAAGTGGATGCCAACCCAGTTAAGATAGACTTCAAACGGCAGAAGTGGGAGCAGAGACAGCTTAGGAAAGAGCAACAACAACAGGAAATCCATCTCAAAAGAGAGATGCGGATTGAAAATAAGAGGTAATGGAGCAATGTAACTCCCAAATTGGGTAGAAGAGAATAAACTGAAGCTACATAAATCAGGGGTGTCAAACTCACAGCATCATGGTGGCGTCACGTGACATATCGGGACTTTTTCCCTTTGCTAAACTGGGTGTGGGCGTGGCCAGTGCATGACACATCCAGCCCGCAGGCCGGGAGTTTGACAGCCCTGACATAGATGTTCTGTGTCTTTTGTTTTCAGTTCTTGTGACATATTATGGGAGATAATATTCTTTACAAATAGTATTTTCTTTCTTCAGCCATAGAATGGGAGATTAAGTTCTACCTAAATCAAAAACTTGAGATCTCTTAGTCCTCATTGTAAAACTTGAAACAGTATTCATCACACATCATTCATTTGTTGGTAAAAATATATGAAAATGGAGAATTGTTAAAGGAATAGTAATCCGTTGTTTCAATTGCTGTCCATGAACAAGGTTACTATGGTTCCAATGGTGTTAGATTTGATCTGTTCCTATTTAGTATTTTCCTATGTATGCATGCTTTCCTGGGATTGCATGAATCTAGATCATGTGAAAAATTAAACATAATTATGTTCTCTGAAATGATCTCATGTGAGCCTAACACTACAAAGACTTGCAAACTTAAAATGGGAATTCAGGAGTAAAGTTTCGTAGCTCATTGTTTTATTTAGCATGCTAGGATGTGTTTATAAATAGGATCTATTTAAAAAACAAAACAAAAAAGCTAGCTCATTTCTTAAACAGGCAGCAATCTCTCCAGCGGACATTGCAAGGCTCACAAAGGCTTCAGGAGCAGAGTGACAGAGCTGAGCGGCATCTGGAGCAGCTCCGAGGGGCAAAGACAGAGAGAAGAAGGCAGGAATCCCATTTTCAGGAAGAAGAAGGAAAGAAAGAAAACCAAAGGAGAGAATTCTTAAAGGCACAGCACAAGCAGAGAGAGAAGCAGCTGGCAAAACATAATCGAATGATTGATGGTCAGGAAAAAAAGAGGCTGGTGAGGGCACAAGTCTGTTTTGTCTTTTCCAAAATTCTGAAAATTTTCTTCGGGCGGGGGGGGATAAATTAGGGACCAGGCATTATCAGGAACAGTTGCTACCTTCGCCAAAGAAAATGTAACTCTCTGCTCAGATAAATGTTATGATGTAAATATATGGAGAATCAGAGACATTCGTATAGATCAATCTGAGTGCATTTGAGGGCTCAGAAGTTGAAAGTGGAGTGGATTTGAAATGTTGGAAAGAAATTAAATGATATGAATATTTAAAGAAGTAAGTGGCTTTCTTAATTTCTAATCAGAAATTCTGCTCAGAACCCCATGCTTGGAAATGTTGAGGGTTAATTATTCAGAACTAAGCAAATTTTGTTTGTGTGTGTCTGTGTGTGTACCCACAGATGCACATATATACAACTACAAATATGTATATAAATATCTGTAAACTCTAATTCTCGTGACCTTTAACTGGGCAAAATGGTGCATCATAGGGCAACAATTTTTGAACCGAACTACCTAAATTAACCAATAGACTCATTTAAAGAATGCATCCAAAATCCAGGACCCATGACTCCCAAGGGATTGAAATCTGAGGCAGTTGTGGCTATTTCAATGCTACAAGCTGCTGCTGGAGTCACGTGATCTTCATTTTCAAAGTCCTGTGAGTTTCCCAGCCAGTCCGATAATCCCTGCTGGGGATAAATGACTTCCCTGCTGGGTAGGAAAGGGAAAAGAAAGGAGAAGGAAGGGAGGAACAGCGCGGCAAGCATAACCAAATTCCTGCTTAATTACTACTCCAAAGCGTACCTTATTACTGAAATTTGCTACTCTATATGTTCTAGCAGCATTTGAATTATTTGGAACGTTGAAGCAGCTTAGCCGATTTGGGATGAGTTGTCTTCTTCACCAGTTAAGCTTCCATGCTATGTTTTTTTCATTTATTTTTCTTTCAGTAATTTTTAAAAGATTTTTATCCTGCCCTTTTTATATACAAATCAATGTGGCAATCATACCAATATTCCTTCCTCTGTAGGGATTATGTGAGATTAGTTGGACTGAGAGAGAGAGGCTGGCTGAAGTCGCTCAATCAGCTTTCATGCCTAAAATAGGACTAGAATTCAGTCTCTTGGTTTCTAGCACCTTAACCATGCCTCTCATGAAATCACATTATTTTGCTAACAAGTTTGATGCAATAAAATGATTTTTGAAAAGATGTGATAGAAGAGCTGCAAGTATGTAGAATAATTAATCTTGTATCCTTACGATTTATATTGACTGTTTCCTAGTATGATTTGATTGCTTATTGTACCCTATGACTATCAAGTGTTGTACGAATGTATCTTTTCTTTTATGTATACTGAGAGTATTTGCACCAAGACAAATTCCTTGTGCGTCCAACCACACCTGGCCAATAAAGAATTCTATCTATCTATCTTAAATAATCTTGTGTTCTTTTCTGTAGGCACTTCTCAGGAACAGAAAAGAAGTCAGGCAAAAGAATGCAGAAATTGCCCTGAAGGAACAGATTGCAGAAAATAAGAAAAAGGAAGCTGTCAAATGCCAGTTGTCCCATAAGCGAGAGCAGGTTTTACAGAATAAAGAAAAGGAGATGCAGATGAAGAAAGGACTCCTACAGTATCTCAGGGAACATGATCTCTTATTGCTCCGTGCTTCTATGCTACCATAGAATAAACCAATTTCTGCAACTAAGGTACTAAAAGTGTTCACAGACAATGCATTGTGAAATAGTTCTGAGTCTGAAGCTGATGCTTAAGAACTGGAGAGGATGTATCAAATGATCATTGCTTTTCACCCCAATTTTAATTTTCTGGTTCATCTTAGTTATTTTCAAGCCACTTTTTTTTCTGATTTTCATATTTCATTTCAATTTTGCTTCAGCTTACTTCTTGAAAAACTGCAAAACTTCCTGCTCTTTCCAATACCACCCGAAGCACCTTTGAAATACATATTAAATTTAGGAAGTAGAATAGCACCAACCTCTTGAAATTTAGTCTTGTCTACAAATGTATCCCAATATAAAAATAAATTCTTCAGATGTATTTGACTAGAATTTATCCCAATTAAAAATAAATATTTCAGATTTATATGACTAGATTTATTTGCTGCCAATACAGTTCAGCTGTTTTCCCCTTTTTAAAATTCTTTTGGGAAGAATGATCATATATACATGTGCAGGTAGAGTTTTTTAAAAAATGTATTTCCTTTTCCCTTCCCACACTATGTTAAAGTTATTTCTCCCCTTCAGATTATCCTTTTAATCATCAAGGTATTTTAAAGTAACTTGCCTGGAATAAAACTGGGTGATTAAAAATAATATTCCCTTCCAATCACTAAGTGCATTAAGCAGCCTTAAGCCTGTTTCACTTCTCTCAACCAAACAGCAGATAAAAAAGGATAACCTTAAAATGTACTAAAATTAACAGGGTATGCCAGGCCATATGCTTGATGCTAACCTGCAAAGTTCTTAATGGTTTTGAGATTAGAAGCACCTAATGGACTAATTTCATCACCTGTCAAGACATAAGTCTAATGCCCCTGCATGTGGAGATTACTCAAGCTGTTATTGGCAACAAAGCTTTATGCTGCCTCTTGAGTTGGAATTGTCTTCATTGTTACAGATCTCTAATGGTGTTCATCTTTTTCTCTATTTTCTACGCTAAAAGTAAAATCTTCTCTGTCACGGGAGAGCATGCCATACTTGTGAGCAGGATCACCAAGCACACAGAATTCTACACAAATAGGATTGACTGTGAGCAAAAAGACATAGCCCTATCCCTCATTCTATAGACCAGTATTAGTAACTTTTACAGAATTCCCCAGCCAGCATAAAGAGCCATTTCCTAGCAATTAGGTGAAATTGTGCTGCTCTGGTTGTCAATTGTCTCTTCAGGGTAATATTGGTTTGGACTTATCAACTCCAAGGCCCTTTGGGCCTTGGAGTAGTTTCCTGAATGCCAAAATTTAGATTAAAGATTTCTAATGTGAATACCTTATGCCACCAGACTTGAAATTCTAGAACTAGAAAACCTTGAATTACGCCGTCTTCGGTCTGATTTAAGCATGGTATATAAAATCATACATTGCAATGTCCTACCTGTCAATGAATACTTCAGCTTCAACCATAACAACACAAGAGCACACAATAGATACAAACTCAAAGTTAACCGCACCAAACTTGATTGCAGGAAATACGACTTCAGCAATAGAGTGGTCAATGTCTGGAATACTCTACCCGACTCTGTAGTTTCTTCCCCAAACCCCAAAAACTTTAACCTTAGACTGTCTACTATTGACCTCACCCCTTTCCTAAGAGGTCTGTAGGGGGCGTGCATAAGCGCACCAACGTGCCTACCGTCCCTGTCCTATTGTTTCTCTTATTCTTCTTTTATTTTTCTTATATGTACCCATTTCATGTATTCACAACTATGTATACATTTATACTTATTATCTTGTAAACAATTGGCAAATCAAATAAATAAATAAATTATATTGGTGCCTTCCCTGGACTTCGACTGCAGGTCCCCAAGAGCGGTTCATAAAATTTCATTAGAGTGCTTTCATTGTTCACTTGTGTCCATTTTTGGGTTTGGCTTTTTAGGGGAGATGTAATAGCAAATAAAGTTTAGGAATCTCTGTTCTAAGGCCTATACTAGACTGTGTATCCGTGTTATAACTGTTTTCATTGCAGTTTACTAAATCTTATTTTTATGGGTGCGCATTTTTAGGTTTCTATTGTCTACCAGATATGCACATTTGGTTAGAAAGGTGGAATATTCATTTTAAATACATATATTTAAATGTATCAGACTAATTTCCTTAACTTCTTGCCATATCTGGAATGAGTTTATAATGTCATGCTTTTGACCTGAAAAAGCAAAATTCAAAAGGAAAAATTTAGAAAGTCTGTTTTTTTTTTCATTTACCCAAAACCAGAAGCACCGTGAAAAATCATTTCTTGCCCCCCAAAATTTTATTAATTCATCCAACTTTCCCAACGTCAGTAGATAAGAGTTAGACATATTTCCTTCTAAAATATGTCTGTCTATTAGTAAAAACAAATTTAACTAATAATATTTTGGAACATAAATGACTGCATACTAATTCACTGGAAATTACAATAATCATTTAACCATGTTAAATCTTTGATGCTTTCCAGACCAGTCTCTCTACAGCTAAGAAAGCAGAATGCTGATAGGAATGAGGGAGGGAGGGAGAGATATGATTGATACATGCCATCTTGTTTTCCATTGTCTTGAAATGGGAGCCGGACAAGTATTGAAGCTGTAAATGGGTTTGATTTCCTTGACATTGGTGCAACGTAAGGGATTTTTCTGTGTACCAGGAGTCAGAACAAATCATCTGTTGACAGAAAAACTTGTAGAATGCACCTAGAGATGCATTTAATATCAGCATCCTGAATCAAACTCTTGCAGTTCTTTCTTACCAGATGACCAGAACAGTCCTATTCCTTCGAACTGAAGCAGATGACTATTCCTTAAAGGATTAGACCTTAATTTCCAAATTCAAAGGTCAAAGTGCTTAGCCATCTGAAGAGGTTCTCAGTTTTCAAATGTAAACACCGAAAGCAGCTTCTCCCTAAGGGGAGGAGTCTTCTTTCTAATTTGGTGGGTTGATGAGAAGGGGTTTAGCTGCCTTCAGAACATCCAGATCAGGGTCTAGGGAGCGACCAAGACCTTCCAAAACCATTATGGCAAAAACAACACAGGCAAAGTTGCTTTCCAGCTTGACCTAAAAGCACAAATAAAGATAATAAACAGGTGGGGGGGAATGGAACTCTTTGTTATAAATAAAAATTATATTCACATTGTTCAGACTGCTTTTTGTAAAAATGTTTACAATAGGAATCAAAACAAATACAGTAGCTTGTAGATTACTTTCTGGGGAAACTAACAGGGGAGATTGCAAATAGCAATTATATAATCGTGGGGGTCTTAGCGACTTGTCCTAGACACAAACAGGTTCCCTGTTCAATCACATGACTATGGGATGGAGGCTGTACAGTGACATTTTATGCCAGTCACAAGTGCTTTATGGCCTCTAAGGCATCCTTTTCCAGGCCATCATAACTGTGAATAGTCATTAAATGACCAGTCATAATTTGAAGGCTACCTGTATTGATTATTTTCAACAGTCAACATTTTCTGGTACTTTTAGATTTTGAATTACAGCATCCAGAAATGCTGGATATGCAGTCTTTACGTTAGAGATACACATCCTGCTTGTTACATGACTTTAAGCCACTGTGAAAAAGTTCTTACATGTAAATGATCTCACCTGATGGGTCATAAGTAACTTGAAAACACTGGACAATAAGCTTCCAACTTGAAACTAATAGAAAAAAATTAAAAATACAATTCAATTAATCAGGCACCATAACAAGGAATCACCAGTTCAAATATAGCTTAGAATCATGCCAAGAACTGGGTAGCAGATTTTCAGCATTATTGAAGTGTGTTTAGATTAAGTATGTGTAATTTTTATCAGGTGAAGAGCCAAAGAAGGATTTCTGCATCATTCTGACCAACTGAACTCAACTCCCAGAGCAGGGCCCAAAATAGCCTTTATTTTCTTTGGGGAGGAGTGTGTTAAGCCCTTAAATCCCCCTCCTCAAATGCAAAAAAATAAATAAATGGGCAATTGTCTGACTCTAAAGTGGCACTCCTGGTGTGTATCCCTGACTTAGATTATAGGAAGCTACCGTACACTCTTATCGGATTGTGTTCTGTGTACTCCTGTATGACTGATACTGACTGGCAATGATCCTTTTAAAAATATTTTTATTGAAGTTTAAAATTATGAAGATAAAAAATTAATATAAACTAAGATTATAACCAAGAAAAAAATAGAAAGTGCCAAAAAGAGAAAAAGATGGGAGAGGGGAAAATATGAAAAAGTATGAAAAAAAAATATGAAATCAAATTAACCAACCCTAGGCAAAATGAGGATAAGGATTGGCACCTAGCAATGGAGCCATCTGAGCTTATCTCTGCTTCCCTGAGAAGCCCAAGCCTAATTATGCAATCAGGTCTTCAGGGACTTTCAGGATATCCAAAGGAATGGAGCTAATTAATTTGGGAGGGGGGTGGATGGGAAATGTTCAGTGGTGCAATTCAATCGTTGTAACAACCGGTTCGGTGACCGTATGCGCCATTTAAAAAGGCCCATTTTCAACTATAATACTTACCTTCTACCGCAGCCCGGTTAGTAAAACATCTGAAGCGTGGCAAAACCACTCTGCTATGCCAATCAGCTGTGCTCCAAACAAGGAAATAAAGTACAGGAAAGAGTAGAGGCGGGTTGGTGGGGCCAAATGTTCACTGGAACTACCAGTTCTCCCAAACTGGTCCGAACCTGTAGAATCCCACCCCTGGAAATGTTCCATAGCAGAAAAGGCATGTCTCCTGGGAATCACCAAATATACTCTAGGTTTCTGGCTGATTGTACCCAAAGCATGCCTTCTCTGCCATATATAATGGTGCAGGCCACGCACTGTGCTCAGAGATACATTCAACAAAAGACCACACTGAAATAGACAGCTGACCTTCCCCAGTGCAACAGCATTGTTTCTGGCCCTTGTCACCAGCTCTGCCATGTCAGCCTTGAATTTTTCCACATCTTTGCACTGGTTAGCTCGGGAGTGATGGAGAATCAACTCAGCCACTTTTTCCCCCTATGGAATAAATCAGATTTTATGGAGGTGGATTCAAGGCATGATGTTTGCTAAGCAAAGCTTACCACTTTCAAGGAATTTCTCCTGCAGCCCCCGCTGCTCTCCAATACTTGTCTTTATTGGAGTTCTTATTCCAACATAGATCAAAATATAACAGGCCAAGTAGAGCCAAAGAAGCTTCTTGGATGAGAAGCAAAACGTCTTCAAAGAAAAACCAAAAACTCTTGAAAAAGCACCTTTAGAACCTAAAGAGTTTTGGTACAAACATAGCTACCCTTGATTTTTTTTTAAACTGTGGAGTAAATCCTGATCCAAAATTCATGATTTCTAACTCTACTTGAAGGGTTT